AGTAACAACCAAATCGTCCCAGAGAACGATTCCTATGGTGTCCTGAGTGGAATCCTAGAACGGAAACAGAAATACACAGGACACACAGGTAATTTGCAATTTTCCAGTAGAAACACTAAAAAGTAAAAACAAAACAAAACAAAAAACCCTCGCAAAATTAAATTTTAATATATTTTATTGATGCAAACACACAAAGTATCACCTCAACATGTAACGGTATGAAAAAATATTTAGCTACTTTACGTTTCTTTTTTCATACTAAGAATCTGGAATTTGCGTCATGTTACACTCTACAGCACATCTCAACCCAGCGGAGGCACATTTCCAGTGTCCCAGCCACGTGTGACCACAGGCAGCCCCAAACAAAAGCTGTGGCTCCCAGGCGACCGAGGAAAACTATACAATCGCGGCGACAATCGCAGCGACGACGCTTGTTGACTACAGGCGAGTACAGAGATAACGGCTTCCTCTGACGAGTTTCCGTTTGTGGTGAAAATGACAAGAAAGGAGTCGCAGCTTTGCTCGGACTCTCTACGGGTACTCGTGGGCCTGGAGCCCTGTCCCCGCGAGCTGCACCTACAGGAGACGCGGTCCATGCCACGGCCTGAAATAAAATCCCCACGCTCTCGAGCAGGGCCTGATGGAGGCTCGAGGTTGTTAAAAAGACTTAAACTGGGAGAAAACATTTGCAAATCACCTCTATGATAAAAGACTTCTATCCAGATATATAAGGAATTCTCAAAACTGTAAGAAAACAACCCCCAAAACACAAGCACATATTTTAACAGACACAGTGTCACGGCAGATAAGCCAAGGAAAACATGCTCGATGTCAGAGATGATGCCACCGCGGCCCCCGCCGGACCCCCTGCCCCGGGAAGAGCTCCAGCTCTGAGCGGGCACCCGGGGGCGCGCGGGCAGGAGGGACGTGCGCTGACCACAGCAGCCCGCTCAGGAGACGTCCGTCGTGAGCGCACCGTGGACGCTGCAGCTGTCGCCTCTCCTGGTCACAGGGGAAATGAAGGCATTACCCGCGGACTCCGCGCACCCGCTCCCGCGGCTTTCCTTCTGCACACGAACGCTAGAGACAGCGCGCACGGCCGCCCACAAGGAGACGGCCTTCCTCGTGTGGTAGGAGCCAAAGCCCTCAACTCTCTTTCCGAACAGTTTCCCCAAAGAAGCTGCCGAGTCATCAGCTAACGCACCTCTGAAGAGAAGCTTCGCAGGCTCTGGAGACCCACAACAGCGGTGCTGGGCACTTGGTCCTGAGGCTTCCTTACGCCCTCGCGTCCTGCTCTCCACATGCGCTGCTGTTCTGTTTTTCGATACATGCTTTGACACATTTCTGTGTATTTTCCTATTACTCCTCTCTTTCAGAAAAAAAAAAAAAACTGAGAGTAAAAAGAAAGCAAACTTCCTAGACACTTTGCGCTGTGACCACATCCACGGTCAGAAGACGGTAAGAGCCGTGGAGGAGGTAGGAATTAATGACGCGGGAAAAGGCCCCCCGCAAACCTGCGGTGTGACTCAAGCTAAAGCAGAGAACGATTCCGTCAGAAACACGAGAAAAAGAAGTTCCATAAGCATTCAGTTTGGGAAAAAATAAACCAAAAGGAAAGCGGAAGGTATTCAATACACAATAGGAGTTTACAAAGGCAAGAACGGCAGCTACACATGTGGGACGAGGACATCGAGAGTAGTTCTTGGAACGCATCAACGACACTCGCACGGGCAAAGGGCGCAGGCAGAGAGAAACACGTGCTATCAGGAAGGAAAGGGCTGGAACTCAGCTACGAGTGTTTCAGTAACTGCAAAGGCATCGATATAAAAATGCCAACAAATTTAAAAGCACTAAAAGAAAACATACAACTTTCTAGAAACAAAATGAGCTCGGAACTCAGAAATCAGTCGCCTCATCTGCAGCGCAGGGAAGGAAACAGTTGTTTATAACCCACCCGCCTGCCGGCATCCAGAGAGCGGACGCGGTTGGAACAGAGCAGGGTCACGGAGGACAACCACTCCTTCCAGACAGTGTCACAGCCGCGCAGACCTGAGCAACTCCGCCCGAGTCACCAACACAGAACTGAGCGGCTCTGCCTCTCACGTGCGAGCTGCGCACACCGGGTCGTTCCCACACACCTGCCAATACGCGGATCCTGATTCCCAGTTCCGACAGGCGAACGCACACGAGCAGGGTGGCGCGAGCTCTTGCCCGCCGAGGCCCCGCCGGCCACGCTGAGCTCCACTCACGTCTTCCAGGATGACGGTGGCAGGAGGCCTGTCCTCCCTGCTGGCGGCCACAGCATTCACACCAGCGTTCCTAGCCACGAGGAGCCACGCTCGCCCCGGGCCACCAGCTCGCTCGCCAGCTCCGTGGTCCAAACCTCCACGGCTAACACTCAACACTCCACGCAGACTTTGTGCCTTCGGACCCACCTTGAGCATGACCGTGGTGATTTGATAGAAGTGGGAGGTTCGTGTTGGCTGTATGTTCTGTCCCATCAAGCCAGGACACCTTCTCCATAGGGCTGGGAGAATCACGCCACCGTGAGTTCTGCTGGTGACATACACGTACGCAGGAGTGAGAGGCGCCTTCTCCTCCCCTCTTCAGTCCAGCCTGCCACCCCGCCACCCCAGTAGGACTCGAAGGAGGGAAGTCCTGGCCAGGGGTGATCTGTGGCTGCAGCCACAGTACCAGACCTTCCTGGGCAGTGAGAGGCATCTCGATGGCAGGAAAGCGGCGCTGGGCAGGCGGGCAGTGCCCCGTCCACCAGAAACACAAGAGCTCCGTTTAGGAAGAGCTGCTCAGAGCCGGACCCAGTGCGTACAGTGGTCTCTGATCTTCACGACGACCGAAAAGCTAGCACCACTCTTTCCACAAAGCCACAGCAGAGCAGAGCGTTGCCTCCAGAGAGGACTCAGCCCTGCAATAGGCTTTCCCACCTCAACCACCAAGTGGGAAGCCCCAGCTCCTCACCGCTGAGACCCCGCTCCCATGACAGGCCTGCCCGTTCAAGGGGCATCTCCAGTGAGGTCTCAAACGAGCTCTGGCAAGGCCTCGTCCACAGACACACCACCCTCTGGGTGCCGGGGCCCTTCTGTGGGAGGGCCTCCCTCCCTCCGTCAGCCAGACCTGCAACTCTTTCCCGAGACCCGCCAGAGCTGTCCTGGCCCCGCTGGGAGGACCCTCTCGGAGAGCACCTCCAAAACCCACAAATCATACCTACTTATGTGATGGCTCCTCAGCTCAAATGGCATTTTAGTCCCAAATTAGCATTTTCCAGAGTGGTTTCTACTGAGGACTAAAGGGGAAGTGCTTTAAAGAAAATAAAAACAGGCTCCAAGGTCAAAAACCCTTGGGAAACTTCCCAGGGAGACAGAAGCGACCCCTGCTTTTCCGAAGTCCACATTATGCCACTGTGCCGTCACGGAAGAGCCCCCCAGCCCCTGCCCCGAGGGGGCCTGCACTGCAGAAGAGCTCAGTGCTGGTTCTGCGCCCGGCGGCCGTGCCTGCCGGCACCTGTCCACTGTCTGCCAGATGTGCCCTAAGAAAAGCCCAAGACGGGTCACTTCGGGGTCTGGGAGTGTGCAAGCCGCCCCCCACCCCCAACAGAAGTTAATGGTGGTCGCTGCTTTGCTCTCCTGGCTTTGGGCTGGCTGGAGTCCACACAGGTGCACCCGCTTGGGGCCGGTGGGGGAAACCCGTGCGCAAGACACCATCCTTTCTGGGACACGGTCCGGTAGAGATACATGCGTCCAATTTCCAATTTTACAAATCTTTAAAGTAAGACTAAGCTGGTATCCTACGAAGTTCTATCCTTTACCACAGATGCATCTCTGCAGAGCCAGACTCCTAACCGCCCCTCTGGTAGGAAAGGGACCCAGACGGGAACCGCCAACAGCTGATGGCAGGTGCCCCCCACCCTCCACTCTACCCCAAGGCCACACACAGGGCATTTCCCAGGTCTCACCCATGCCCAGCTCGTGCCCGGACGCGCCTCCTGGCCCGCAAACCTGACAGGCGACCTCGGTCTCTCCAGAGCATTCATTCCAGGAAGAACGGATACGTCAGAAAGATAACTGCTTTTAATTCTCTAAGTTTCACTTATGCAACATCATAAAGGCAGATTTATGTGACTTGATATGACATTTTTACAAAAAACAGTTTCCCCCACATCTGGTCAGCAGTATATAAATATTTACAATGAAAAAATAGGCAAGGAGAAAGGAAATCTTCATTATTCAAGTCAGTTTCTTCCCGATGCTTATCAGAATTTGAAAATAAAATAGTTTGTTAACTTTCTAGTCATCCGTATTTACATACCACTTCGGCGGACAGATGGAGAAATGGAGGCTCGCGGGTGTTCAGTTCATGCCCCCCCCACTGAACTAGGTCTACACTAGTTTAGAAGTTATCTGAAGGAGTAAATTAAATATAAAAATGTAAACTTTGAAAGAAGATAGACTCTGAAAGAAGGATAAGCGTTCTTACAGAGGTTAGTATTTACACACTACAGACCAAAATAAAATGCTCTATATACTTTCTTAGCAGGGACATTCTGTTTCAATGTAATTAGATTATGTAACAAAACTGCCTCTAAAGAGGAGGTTAAAAGAAGAGCAGTGACATCAGCGTCTTAACTGATGAACAGCCACTCGCTCTAATTTTCTCTCAAAGCAACTGCGAGTTCTCAGAAAGTGACAAGTACAAATTGTATCGCGGAGAGCTTCCGAGGCCTCGACAAAGTGTGGTGTCTCTTCACTATGACGATTTCAAAAAATAAACCTGATCGTGCAAACCAGCGTCATAACGGGTGAGGTTACGAGTCTCTCCGCCGCGGCTGTACGAAAACAGGATTTGGCTCTATAGAGGCCATCGAAAATGCTGAAGGACACGCGGGCAGGAAAGGCGGACAGGCCAGTGGCCTTGAGGATCTGAAAGTGTGTGTCTCGGAACGCAGGGCCCAGCGCGTGCAGCCCCCCGTGAGGACAGGGAAGGGGTCACGCGTGGGAGCCGCGCCGCCCTCGAGAACCCAGAGACACGCGCAGTCTCGGCTCTCGGGCTTCGTAGTGCTCATTGAAGTCCAAGCGGAAGCTCAGAAACCGAAGGCTTTCATCGGAGCTGGTCGTCAGCAACACCAGAAACTGCTGCACGATGCCCTGAGAAGGAGAAAGAGAACAGCCGTTTCAGGAGGGGCCTCCACGGCACAGGCCGCCCCCCTCGCCGCCGCAGCCTCATCTGGGCTGGTTTCTCCTTCCAGACCGACCGACTTGCAGAAACACGCACCGCGGCAGGCGTCCCAAACGGAAGACGGCTGCCCCAGGAACCCAGGTTCACCAAGCCAATGGCAGCCGCGTCCACAGACACGAATGCACAATCAGTAAGTTTTACGTAAGAGAACATCCTTTTTGCCCTAAGTTCTATAAAAATAAGCAAAACTTCTGACATTAAAAATAAAAAAGGCCTGTTCTTTGTCTTTTCAATGTAAAACCACGACTACGCTTTCCATCTTTCCTTTGAGCTAAAGAGCACTGAATCCCAGTGCCCTGCCAGAAACAAAAATGAGAACAAGAGAAACGATGCACCTCCAACCCGTAACCACAGGGTCCCTGCTCCTTGCAGATGTGGGCCGAGTCACTGTCCTGAAGAGCAGGCAGAGTGTGGCTAAGCCACCTCCTCCTCCTCAGGGGGCTTTGTAGAGACGCGGGGACATGACAGCAGTTTCCTCCAGCTTGCACGTGACCGACACCGGCTGCTTCTCTGCAGGGCCGAGGTACTTCTGGGCACAAACCCCATCCCTGCCGGGCTCCTGAGTCACAGCCGGGGGTGTGTGGCTGTCCAGAGTAGGGGGAAGCTTGTCTCCCTGCCTGCACACCTGGAAAAGGTCCCATCTGCAGAGACGCTGCCACTGAAACACCACAACCCATGAGTCCTTCCAAACCCTAACGGCACCTCAGTCCCTCTCCGAGCTCCGGGGACGCGGGTACGTTGCACTAGAGAACTCGCGCCTGAGCGAGCACAGAGTGGGGTGCCATGGACATCCCCTTTGTCCTTCTGGGAAACCGACGACTTCGGGAACAGGCCCTAAGGAATCTGAGTGCTAAGCACCCACAGCCAGTGGCTTCCTGTCAGGTGATGATCGTGGCCGCGGCTGCTAATCCTGGGCTGCTTCAGCCACGAAGTCAAAGAGAACAGAGAAGGACTTCATTTCTGTTAAGGAAAAGATACCTCAATGGCTATGACTGAGAAACATGAAGACCATAATTTGAGTAAAACTGGGATTATACAGATTACTTTTCAAAAATGAATTAAGTCTCAGGGCACCTGGGGCGCTCAGTCGTTAAGCCTCTGCCTTCGGCTCGGGTCCTGATCTCAGGGTCCTGGGGCCGCTTCGGGCTCCCTGCTCGGCGGGGGTCTGCTGCCCCCTCTCCCTCTGCCCCTCCCCAGCACTCGTGTGCTCTCTGTCGCTCTCGCAAATAAATAAGTCGAATCTTTAAAACAAATGTGTTAAGTGTCTCAGGAGAATGTGTAACCATCCCCACCTCCCTCAGAAGTGAGCACAGGGACACACGCTGTAGGCTGCAGATCACCCCTGCGGACGCACTGCCACCTTCGCCAAGAGTGTGGAACTGTTACGCTCCCGCTGTAAGAAACGGGGACCCAGATGGTGCGTACGACACGTGCACTGAACGAAATCCCGTCTTTGCCACCATTTAGGAAGCATTTCGACAACAGTGCTGTGGTAGCTAATGTCAGAGGAAGGGCGCCCGCGACGGGGACCGCGCCCGCCCACGCCCCGCTATGCTGCAGACAGCCACCGTGGCAAGCGTGAGCACCCGGGAAGCAAACCACACGCTGTGGAACAGGGACGCGGCTTCGTTCTAAATCCCGACCCACATGGAGACGTCAGTGCCCAGAAACGTCATTTCTAACGGTTTCAACGTCGATGCCTGTGTAATTAGTTACCAACAACCGAACGTAAAATTCTTCGTAAAACCTTCTCACCTGTGTGTCCATCACTAAATCACGCCGGAGAGAGAATCAGACCAAACGCACAACACAGAAACCCGCAGCAGCGCGCACCCTACCTGCTCCTCCCCCAGCCTCCGGGGTCGCAGGCCGAGTGAAGCCCCCGCCGCCTCGTGCGCTCGGCGACCCCGCAGCAGCTCCCGCACACCCTCCCACAGGACCCTGAGGCCGCACAGCTCTGCCCGGCCCCTGCAGGGCTGCCACCCACCGCTGACAACACCAGAACCGGCCCGGGACAGCCCGGGATCCCTGGGAAGGTCGCAGCCGAGACAGGGCCCTGCTGTGGGTGGGGGGTGCACTGAAAGGACTCCTCTTTCTTCACCCTGAGAGCGAGGGTGAACAGCAGAAAATCGGCGGCGTGACGTGGGCCCCGTGCCGTGGCGCCAACACGCACCTGGTAGAAGTGAGTCAAAATCCGCAGCTGCGAGCACATCTTCGGGATCGATTCTCGGAATTCTTGAATCCTCTTGCTCTCCTCCTCCTCCTCCGCCGCGGTCACTCCCCACCGGCCCTGAAGAATCGCAAGGACCAGATTCCATTAAAATCTGGGCACAAGAAGCTGCCACGGTAGGACCGCGCTGGAGGGAGAGCGGGGGAGATGGGTGCTGTCCACACCCTCCGGGCTGCTCGGCGCTTGCGCGAGAGTCTGCTGACGCCGAACTGTGCTCTCGCTCACTCTTTCCAGTTAGTGAGACCCCCCAGAGATGCTCCGTATCAACACACAGGAGCACAGAGAACCCCGTCCTTGTAGTAACAACTACAGGACCATGCTGCAGAGCACGTAACACCTTCCGTCATTCGTCACAAGCTAACCAGGCTTTAGTTAGTGAAGGCGATGCCTTGTGTCTCTCCCTCATCACCGACGGTTTCGAACCCAGACCTGCCACGTGAAAGCAGACCCAGATGGCTCCAAGTACCGGAATCCCTTCACCCTGGACTTCGGCGGGAAAGCTTCTTGCCACTTGTCCAAGCACGGCTCATCTTCCTGTACTGGAGAGACGTCTACTTCGATTGTTAGGATGGTTCTTAACGAATGGTGAGTCTAAATGCCTTCTCGGCCAGCCTCTACAGGAGTCAGCACGGGATTCCTGTCTTTTTATCAACAGCTGCCTCGCCGTTGACACGAGGATAAAACTTCTACTTCTCTTACAGCTATTCCTTCTGGCACCCTCTGGAAGCTTAAGCATGTCATCCTTCACGCGCAGATTCACAGCCCACCTCACGGTGGTCGCGTGTGTGCCAGGCAGGGTCGAGACAGCCGCCTACCACCATCTACCAGGCTCCATTCCCCACTGTTCTCAGTCGAGAACAAATGACCCAGAATGTGCAGGGCTCTTCCTGGATGTCATTCTGCTCCCGACTGTCCTTGCTTGCGCCAACACCACTGTTCTCACTGCGGTAATCTTGGAAACCTTAAGGGTATGTGTGTACTCAAGCACAAATGCATACCATCTCGCTTATCTTGTCCAAAATTCTCCTCCCTTCGAGCTGCGTCCTTGTATTTCCACATAAATTTTAAAATTATCATTTTCTACCCCTCCCCCCAAAAATTACACCCACAAGAAAACCCGAAACTGTTGGGGATTAGAATTGGGACTTCATTGAATCTATGAGTTCCTGTGAACACCGTCTACGCCTCTGCCTCCCGAGGGGCCCTCTGCCACCCCTGCGATGTGCCGTGAGGGGCCAAGGAGCACACGTTTTGGGCTCCGTGTGCCATGTGATCTGTGCTGCTACTCAGCGCTCCCACACAGCACACAAGCCACCACGGACAGCGTGGAAATCACTGGCACGGCTGCTCCCGCCACACCCCACCTCCGGAGACACATGGGAGGCCAGGCCCGGCCCGAGGACCGTCGGCCGCCAAGTCCTGTTTCACAGTTTCCTGAACTGGGGCTTTACCCTTATCGGTACACTTTAATGCTCTTTTAAAGGCATTTTTAAAAATTTTATTTTGTTTGTGGCTGATAAAAATAGAATAGATTTCTACATAATGACCTTGTTTTAAGCCACCTTGATAAAGTCAGTTATTAATTCTATTAGTTTACCTAAACATTATTTTAGATTTTCTATATCCACAGCCATGACTTTTGCCCCCCCACCCCAAAAAAGAAAAAGAACGAAACTGCTCGCTTGCGTGTGTGCACCTGCATTTCTTCGTCTCAGCTGCTAGCACGGGCGGGCCTCCACGGCCACGGCCACAGCTGTGCTGAACGGGGTGACAATGGTCTGGGTCTCAGTCCCAGGACGGCACCATTAGCATGAGGTTTTGACTCGGGCCTTTTAAACAAACCTATCAGACTCTCCTCAGTGTCCAATGATCTTATCCATCCATCGAGAGACTGCGTGATTTTCTCCTGTACTTTGTAAACGTGGAGACTTACAACATTTCATCAGAATGATACATGAACTTTGTAATTATGGAACGAGCCAAAGCTTATCTGTAATGTCCCATCCTTTGGTACATCCCAACTTGGTGACATTGTCTTTGGGCTGCAAGACACAGACTGGTGCAGAGCAGAAAGCAGCAAAGATTTGGGTCATAGATTTGACTGCAAAACCAGGTAACTATTTTACAAGATTAAATTCAATTTTGTTTTATAAGTTAAAAGCCGAGCTAAAGCCAATTAATTTGCCTACTGAGCAGGGGTGTACCGTCCAGGGAGTCATAACTACGTCAAGTGCACTAGAACCCGGATTCCGAGGTGCACCACGACTGTGCGCCCCACTGCCAGCCTGCTGGGGCCCGCCGTGGAGACAGCTGTGTGCACGTCCGTGTGCCCTGGGGGAGGGGCTGTCAGACAGCAAGTGACCGCCTGCTAACATTCAAAACCAGGATTTCCAGTGCAGAAGATAAGGAAAATGAAGTCCCTTTAACCCCAAACTTGAACTGGAAACATCATTATGAACCTAAGAGAAAAGGGAAAAGGAAGCAGAGAACCACGGTGGGGACATCTTCAACAGCCCAAGGTCATGGATTCCACAAGGTCACTAACAGCAGCCGCAGTGTGGAGCTTTGGCTGCCATGTGTCTGTGTGTGTCCACCGGCCAGGTGACCGGGCGGCGCAGAGCTGGGGCCGGTCTGCAGAGCCACCAGCGCCCACGGACGCAGCAGCCACAGGCTCACTCACGGGACGCCGGGGCATGCTGTCGTCAGGTCACACAGGGTGACAGCGAGGGGGACCGCCATGCCTGGAACAGAGCCTGCTCAGGACTCCAAACGTAGGTGTGCGCACCGTCTCCAGGACCATTTCAGCAGGAAAACTACCTGTGCTGGTGATAAGCTCATTATTCAAACTGAGAAGCCCCTGGTGGAAAAGCCGTACCTCGACTTCGCGCTGTTTCCTCTTCTCTTCAAACTGCAGTCGTCGCTGCAGCTCCCCCAGCGCGGCTCTGTATATGGCGTCCTGCGTGTTCTGAAGCTCAATGATCTGGTCAAACACGGCTCTGAGCTGGTTTAAAAGTGCCTGAGGACAGACAGGAGACGGAGAGAGACTATAAACAAGCTGTCCGCTCGCGTTCTCCCAGCGCTCTCTGCCGGCCCCGTGCTGCGCACTCAACACCCAGCGGCCCCCCGAACCACAGCGCGGCCCCAGACCGCGGAGCCGTCAGCGTCAGAAAGGACGTCCACCGAATTCACTGTTTGCAGCCACACACACCAAGACCAGCCACGGAGGATGTGAGAAAGGGGATTCGGAACGTGATAAAGGACAAATTCAGCACTGAGTTTAAAACCCAGCGTCCAGCAGGAACGCGAGGACAGTGTCACGCTGAAACGCGTCGCTGGCGCCGGCCACCCGTGCTGCGCAGTGCCCCCCCGGGCATCTCCCGTAGTTCAGTCTTGCTTCCCCGGTGCAGCACGGAAGAGGGCGAGAGAAAAGGGCCTGTAGCAGAGCTCACTGGGGTGAGGCAGCGCACATCCAGGCACAGCACCAGACGCGCACACGCTGGAACGGCCAACTCCAAGACAGTGGTGCGCCGGCGGGGCTGGGATCCCACGACGCGCAGGGACGGCAGGGACGGACGAGGGCGCCCCACGGCCGAACAGCAGGCTCAGCTCCACCCTGCGCTTCGACTTAAAAACCCACTAACGATTTGAGGAGAAAAGATAATTTCGAAATCACAGGAGAGAAAGTCACGTGTTAAAACTTAGCAGCCACTCACGACTGACACAAACATCCAGACGCACCCGGACGACAAGGCCCTCCTTGATCTAAGTCCTACGAGATCTCCTGGCAAACATCAGAGCGAACAGTGAAAGGATAAACGTCCCCTTATCGTCGGGGATGGGCCAGGAGCCCTCCCATGCTGCCGGGGGGCCCAGCTAACACCCCGAGGCAAGGAAAGGCAGGAAACAGACCCCCGGAAAGAAACAAAACAGACTTTCCTTGTAAAAACAGGGTCTAGAAACAGATCTAGAAACCCCTGGGATGAAAAATACTGGATAAAAAAAATCAAAGTCATGATATGAGTAACATTCCTCCAAACCAGCCACATGCCACAGTTACGGTGCTAAGAACCTAAAAAAGACTTGCAAGAGGTTATGGGAGAAAGAGGACAGGACTTTACCGAGATGTGTAGGAGAGCCGGGGAAACGAGAGGGGCTCCGGGCTCACGGACAGGAGGCAGCGCCGAAGCCGGGGCAGCGAGGACAGGCAGCCCGGCTCGCTGCAGGGGGAAGGCACTACGGCCAGTGGGGACACGTGCAACACCCCCCGCAGCCCTGCCTGGGCGACGCGCTCTGCCCAGCACGAATACGTCCCCTGGAAGGGTTGGCAACACACGGCCACAAACGTCAGTAACTTGCAGCCGCGGAAGCTGGGGTTGGGCGGCCCAGGACTCAGGAGAACACCGGGCTCGCCGCAAGGCTGCTGCTTCTTTTGGAGGGGCCTGACCTGACAAGCAAAAGGCAAAACAAAAGACAGAGGTGCTCTAATTTTTTGGTTTTTAATGAAGCCCATTTCTTCCAATTTGTTTATCGTAATCAAGTAGGAATTAGCATTTCTGGAGCAATCAGCTCATCCACAAGCTGACTGCTCTGGCTCTGTCCGCAGTGGCTCGGGCGGGAGGACTGGAACGCGCATTCGGGGTGGCAGCGGTGGACAGCGGGATGCGGCCTCCACAGCAAGGCACAGGCGGGACTCACAACTGTGTGCGCCTGCACCTGTCCGCCACGGCCGCCGCCGCCTGTCAAGCAGCCTTGTGCTCCCAGGAAGGGAGACCCCAAACGTACTTCGCTTCTGTCCAGAACGGCGGTCTAGGGGCCGCTTCAGGAGGGATGATCCAGCCCTCAGCGCCGTGACTCCCTCCGCGCTCACGGTGACTCGGGGCACCCCACACGTAAGCATCCACGACCACAAGAAAACGGTGCCAGAGGTGAAAACGCTTTCTCCTTGGATTCTGTTCCCAGCAAGGGAAATTTTCTAGAGGCAAGAGGTGTGGCTGTTCTGTCCAGAACCGCCACGCGCGCACGTGGCGGAAAGCCAGTGTGGCCAGCCGCTGACACTCCTCACGGCCCACACGCAGACCCACGTCAGCGCGGCCGTGATCCTCGCACGTGGCCCGGTCCCCGAAAAGCCCAGACTCTAAAGACGCTAATCTCTGTAAAACGCGACCCGTGGCTCCGAAGCCTCTAGGAACAGAGGTGGCGACCGCTGCCGCATCCCTCACTACGATGACAGGCTTCTGTGAACCACAGCGTTTACCTCTCGCAGCCTGTCACACCTCTTCCAATGTGACAGCACTGTGCCGTCCCTCTGTACCCCCTGAGCGCCTCCAGCGCATGCGCCACCAGCCTTTCGGCTCACCGAGACTGCGGCTACGGCTCAGCTGACACAGACGAGGCTCACTGCGGCCAGGGTCAAAGGCCGTGGGTGCGCGTTTCTTGAATTATTAGTTCCATCCAAAGTGTTTCAAATTACTTGTGTGCCACTGTTTCCGTACCTTTCTGAAAGCGTTCTACACTGCGGCATCTCTGAGCAACTGTTTTGCACAGACGAGGGACAGGTTCAGCAGCAAATTCGGGCACACGGAGACAGCGCGTCCCAGCCGCGGCTGGGAGGCAGCGTGTTTCCCTCGAGGAGGGCGCAGGGAGAAGCAGAGGCGGCCCTCCGCGAGCTGGAAATCTCTGTGAAGTCACACATTTCATGTCTAAAATGCACACAAAATTTTGGCTCTTACATCACAGTATCTTCCTTTCAAAGGAAAACAATGTGCTCGCTGCTTCCCCCGACGTGGGAATGGAGTCAGAACGCACAAGGCTCGGCCGCACGGAGCAGCGATGTCCGCAACAGGGTCTATGGGGAAGCAACGCTAGCGCCCAAGCTGGGACCGAGGACCCCGACAGTTTTCTAGACAAACAGCCGATCTTCTGACCCGTGCAGCCAGACACGCCCTTAACCAAGGCAAACACAGAGAAGACCCTGGTCCCTGGATAAGACAGCAAAGGGACAGCCCGGAGCGCTCTGCGCGTGCTCACGCCGTCCGCCTCCTGAACTCACAGATGGGCGCCGTGTGCTGTGTCCTCGCACCGCCCGCCTGGCTTACTCCGTGCATGACACGAAACCAGCCGGGGGTCGTCTCTGTCTTCTGAGCCCCACGGATGACACCGCTGTCACACTGAGCGAACGGATAGGTGCGGTTACGTGCCTCGCCCGCCTATACCCACTTCAGAGCATGTTCTGGCTCTAATTCCGCTCGGAAACAGCCCACCCAGAATGTTAAGCGATTACTAAAACAGCCCTAGTTACTACTAACGTGGCCTTTGGGCAATTCCTAAGATGTCCCGGGGGACAGGAGCCCCAGAGGAGAGGACTCTCACTGCTCCTGCTTCCCAGCAGCCCCCGGGGCTTACTCTGGAGTCAGCGTCCAGCAGACAGCGGGAGATGATGGTGTCCAGGAAGCCCTCGTGCGCCGCAATGATGTGGTCCAAGTCTTGGGCCTGCTGCACTTTGTTCCAGAGCTCATCCCAGGAACACTCCAGCACCTAGGAGACACAACCGCGACACTCAGGGGTAAGGTGTGTCTTCCCCGTCCCACATCCCCGACAACGTACGCCACACAAAGACACGACGTGTTTCAGCGGGCAGGAGGGGCGCGCCGGGTACCTCAAACGTGATGTAGTACTGCATCTGGTGGATGAAATGGACCATCTCGGACGCCAGAATGTGGCAGTGGTGCAGTACCCCGGAGAACTCTGCAAGCGAGCCGAAGAGCCGTGTCAGACGCCGCGGGCGCACGTCAGCTGCCACACGCTCCCCCCCAGCCCCGCACGGCTGCACGCGCCCTCTCGAAACCACCGCCTCCAGCCTCCACGGTCAGCGCCTCCGCACAGGGAGCGGTCCTTCCGTGGCCGGTCTCGGGCCCTCTGAGCTACGCAAGGGCTTGGCTGTCTCGTCACGTGCGCTACTTCACATAACGGAAGGACCTGATTAAGGGACGGCGTAAAACACAGTAACTGCATCTGAAAATTAGACACATTTCACTGCGCGAGCCTGACTATTTGCTCAGCTCTGTGGCTTTTTCAGAACACGCCTGCCGCTGTGTAAGACCTCATGACCCCCAGAGATCTGGAGACAAAAGTGACCTTTCCTTGAGGGCCCGAAAGGGACCTCGTCCCCTGAGAGAGACATGACCCAGGAGGGAGATGGGCCTGTGCCCTGACTCTGTTCCGATTCTTTGAAAGATTACAAAACCATCGAAAGGCTTAGAGGTCACCACAGATAGCCACTCTCCGTTCATACTTTTAATTTTTTGATCAAAGACTCTCTCAGAGTATGAGGGGACGACACCACGCAGAGGAGGGCTCAGGCAGATGGGGCCACCAAAGGAACGGTCACAGGCACATTTCAGTGTGGGTCAGACTGGGCGTATTTGGTTTCCAGCCCAAACGCCTTTAACTAGCTCCGCGGGCAAATGACTGCCGCACGCATTTCTCCGAGCGCCGCCTTCGGCCCCCTAAGTATGACAAGGGAGTGAAACAAACGGGACAGAGAGAACTGCGGGACACAGACTTTAAAAACGGCCTCAGTGCCCCGTGGGGACTCTGCTGGCTGGGTCGGCGTCAGGCCCTCGCAGCTGCAGGCCACCTCAGAGGACTAGTGCGCGCTCCAAACCCCCCGACGTCCCCACCGTCGGGAGCCCCGGTGTCCCTGGGCGGCGTCAATGCTCCCGTGAAGGACGGTCATCTGCGCTCTTCCTGCGGACACTGCCCAAGCGGCGGACGGGGCTCCCTGACACCCAAGCCCGCTCACCCAAACTGCTTTCGGCATCAAAGAGCGTCACAAAATGCTGTTTTACGTGGGAGTCGCTTGCGTCACGGCATCAGGAAGCTTCTAAAAGCAAACGAGGGCCACGTACAACGCCACTTGGGGGCTTCACCCCAGAGCCGGGAGGCAGGGACAGCTCCACCCTCCCCTGAAGGCTGGGCAATGGCACCTGCAGAGACCGCATGTACTTACCACCAGGCGCGCGGTGGCCCCGTACAAGCCACACCCGTGAGGACCCCGGGTCCGACAGGAACCCAACGCCCCGCCACTGGGCTGGCTTCAGGGCAATCGGCTGCACACACAAAACCAGAACCGTCAGAGCGGACGTGAGGTCCGTCTGCAAGTCCGTGCTGCCCTCGACGGCCACTGCGAGAACGTCACGGCCGACGGAAACACCGCGGGCTCGGGAGGGACCTGACGGCACTGCCGAGCACCTCGACGGGAAGCACCCGCGCGTCTGGAGATGCACCTTCAACAGCGCCGGGTTTGTTACAAGTTATAAAAAGTTTATTTAAAAAAAAAAAAAGTACCCTAAAGCAGTTTCTTCCCAATTGCCAATCACCTCCTTGAAGCTGTACGTGTAACCGAGGCTACGACACTTGAAAGCAACCCGACCGAGTCACCCGTCTGATTTACTCCTCAAGGCGAAGGGCTCCAAGAAGTTGGCAAGAAGCAGGATTCCTCGGACCCCGTATGCAGAACCGCTCATCAGCACGAAGGCCCTGCAAACGCCATCCGCCGTCCTCTGCGCGGCCAGGCCCCCAGCAGGGATGCCTGCGAGGCGCCTCCCACCCCCACCCCAGGCCACACTGGTCAGAGCCCTACACAGACCCAGGATCCAAGACCCCAGGACGGGAGCGCTGCGGCTACGACCCTGCCCCCAAATAGGGAACCGAGGCAGAAGACAAGGAAATGGGCTCCTGGCCACAGCGTGGTGCTGGCGGACGGCAGACCTGCCTGGGCAGAGCCGCTCGGCGTCTGTGCTGACCACGAACCACACGGTTCGCGGCCCGGCACAGGGAACTCCTCATAAGGGTCTAATCACCGAGGAGCCTCCTCATATACGCAAACTTGATGCACACAGGGAGATGCTTTAGAGAGAAAAATGTCTACTCCTTTTCTAAGTTATCATTTCTGCGGTCCAGAACACTGTCCACCGTACGATGAACATTAATATCGTATGAACCAAGAACGAAAACCAGCCACCAATGACACAGGCGGGACGCAGCAGCACCCGCGGCCGTGCGTCCCCTACGGGGCCTGACCGCCCCTCCCACCGCCACCACGCTCACTTTCATTCCTAACAGGACCGAGAAGGAGATCATTTTAATAGCACTTCTCCGGGGAGGGGCCTCCATTCACTGCCCCGCCCGCCGCCCCGTACACCAAGGATGAGCAAGAACACAGCTCAGTGCACGGCTTATCTATTTCATTTTGTGAGCTGCTCCGTGAAACACAAACTTAGTCGCCACTAACTGTGATACTTTTTAGATTAACTGAATCCAACAACCAAAACAACACGACTCCGTACCACTGGAACCCGAATCTTTCAACGATTTTTCTAACAACTCCTTCTGTCTAGCTGAAAGACAGACAGACAGAAACGGGCATCAGCATCGCGGCAGACGCCGATCAGAAAGTCGTGCACCAAACACAGCATTTTCCAGTGTAACTACTTATTCCAAAAAAGTTCTTTCAACAAGTATTACTGCAATGGTATCTGGGTACTACTGACCCTGCGCGTGGGCACGCCTGCTCCCCGCCCCGTACAGGAGCAAACAGCTGCAGAAGTGGTTTACAGAAGCACTTTATACGATCGCTCTGTGTTCTTGCCTCGGATTTACGGTTGGCAGGATGTTTCTCAATTTTCTGTATTAACAAGACCTAATGAAGTAGCTGATTGATTTCAGCTCATTAAGTCACCTGGACACTAACAACTTTGAAATACTCCTTATAACTGAAAGAAAGAACACACCCCAACAGAAACAGGAGCAAAAAACCAGTTTCCTGAAAAATAAAACACAAATGACGAAAGCATTTACACTCAACATTTAAAATGCATTAAAGACATTAAAACAAAGGGACAATCTGCTTGAAGGCAGCATCCAGCTTTCAGCTTCCGCTGATCAAGAGCAACACAGCCACCTCGAGGCAGAGGGCTGGGCCCGGGGGCCGCGCCCTGAGCCAGCACCTCGTCCCCGAAGTCATCTGTCCCCGAAGTCATCTGACGACGCACACCTAGAGCTGAAATCCCAGTACCAGCTTCGCAAACGTAAAGTAAGATGAGAATCCGTGCCTGTCCGCCCAGCTGTTCCATCCCTAACCATCTAAGGAACCATTCAGATGCAAACAGACGGATCCTTACCAAAAAAGCTTATCCCGTTAGCTACATTCATGGGAAAAAAGAAAACCCCCGCAGCCGAAGATACAGGACAGGACGCTCGCTACAAACACACAGGCAGGAGCCGACACTCTGCTAGAGTCCAGGGGAGGTCTCAGCGACAAGGAAAGGGTCAGTGACAGAAGCAAACACAGAGCTCTCCCTAGCGGCACAACGTTCTACTGGCGTGATTAACGCCATGCAGGGTAAAGCCCACTTCTCCCACATGCAGAAAACTGATCAGAGGTCTGTGACCCTCGTGTCGAAAGCAGAGCTTTCGACAGAGTGAGGTCCTGCAGACCCGGGTCACTGCCAGCTAACAGTGGGACCTGCTACAGAGCCGGGGCTGCCCAGACGCCTCCTGCGAAGGCACGGCAGCACGGAGCCCGTCCGCATCAGGCAGGAAGGGGGACACGGGCACCCCTCGCACTGCAGCACCAACGCCCCCCAAGGAGACCGCAAGGCCAGCCACAGTGGCCACCCAGCAGACACAGCAAGTCACCCCGAGCATACCGTGGGAAAGGGGGGACAGGCGCAGAGCCAGGAGATTGCGAGGCTCTCTGATTGACAGATGCCCCTTCTAACCTTCCCAAACAAAGCAGCCCCTCCGCCAGGAAGCCCACATGCACTAGAGACACTCAAAGGCAGTATCTCCTCTCCACGAGCTTTATGGTAGTTAAAAGAAAACGTTCCCTCTCACTCTTTTTACAGCCGTGTCAGAGGGTCCTTATTACCAATTTTCTAAGAAGTGAGTCCAGAGGAAGCAAGGCCAGGAGCATAAGGGCATCCTGATCCCCAGGAAAAGACCAGCTATGAATACAGAAGGCGTGGGACAGCCAACACAAACTGCCCGTCGTGCCAACACACCGGCCCCCAGCTTCTGGGGTGTCATTTTTCTGGAACTCTGGGAGCTGCTCAAGGATCAGCCTTGACCTAGTACATGTGGAGGGATCACACCTGCCTGTCGTCAAACAATGGCTCCTTTCTCAATAATCACTTTCCCCAAAGGATTAAGAATCTATCACTGCTGTTCCTCTTGAAAGACACACTGCTGAAACACCTTCTCAAAGGTTTTGAACAGATAATCGAACGTACTCAGTACTTACTAAACCTTAAAATAAGCCTGGCTATCTGACATGAGAAAGTTCATAACAGCTTATAAGTATAAAATAATATTACCAAATGCTTCCATGTCCTGGTTTACGAACCAAAACAAACATTCAAGCAATTTCCAAACAAACTAATCAACACACTAAGTGAATTTCAAATGAACCACTCATTTATTAAACAGCTTTCACTCCTTAAAAATCAATTAATAAAATCCCTATGTGAACACTAGAGTGCAAACGCACGGAGCTCTGAGAGAGACCTCGCGATCTGGAACAACCCAGCGTGACGCAGTTTTCTTCCCGATCTGCACAGAACCCCAGGTCCGCAGTGTTACAGCCTTCCCACACACAGCACGCCCGCAAGCACACAGGCGTCACTTCTCAGCCGGGGGACGGCACTGCCAGTCCCTGCGGGTGCGGCGGCCGCCCGGGGCGGGCTTACCGGGCATGTTTCTCAGGAGCTTGGCGTTGCACATGTGGCCCTTCCGAATGTCGGTCAGGATGTACTCCATCCGCTTAGCCCTCCACAGGAAGTTAAACACCCGCAGGTAGTGGCTCATACACTCGCGAGTAAACACCTGAAAAGAGCACGACACAGGTGAGTAGTCCTCTGCGACAGAAGAGCCTCCCAGGACAGCACTCAAGCTTTCTGCATCTTTTTCTTTTAACACAAAAAAAGCCAAGGAACACACAATCAAGTCTCATAAGTGCTAAGTAGCACGTGAGCAACGAACACGTCCTAGGGAGTCCCGTGACACTGAACCGCAGCAATCGGGGACCTGCTGAGCAGCGCGTCACTCTCACATCAATGCCACAAACTGAGAAACGTGGCTGGTGACTGGTGTGTTGGGACCTTTAAACCCAGCCTAACCCTTAGTCGAACACACAGACTCTTAACTCCAGCTCCGGCTCCAGCTCCGCGGCAGCTTCCCGGGCCCGACCCCCCGAGGGAGATGTGAGGGGGATGAATCTGGCGGAGGCAGGGCCGGGAAGGACCCCAAGGCTTAAAGGGGCTGCGGGTGGTCTTCCAGGAGGTACATCTTGCTCTTGAAGCCATTTCACTGCAACTGGCCTGCAGGGTCCCACCCCGGGAAGATGCGCCCTGTGGGCAGGGGTGGGAAGAGGCCTTCCTTCCACGCTCACCTCCCTCCCATGGGGGCCGGTTAAATACACATGTCAGGTGACCCACAAAGAATCTTCTAGAGTCTGTCTGTCCCATGCAAACACGGCTCCAACCCTACTGCGTATGTGTGCACACAGATGGGGCATACGTTTGCCCTTTCCTAGATGCCGTGAGAAAGGGATGCATCTTCTGTGTCCCCAGCGCCCCCCTTGGAGCACAAACCGAAAACAGGCCACCTAAGCGGGACCTCTGCCGCCAGCAGTGCTGGGTTGGGGGCGTTCCCCCACATCACCCTCTTGCAGCCCCTATGCCCCAGCAAACCCACACTCTCCTCCAGCCCAGACCCCGCCTGCCCCTCAAGGACGAAGGCCATATGCCCTTCCCAGCCCCTTCTCCAGACAGGACACTTTTCACTGAGCTTGCAATCGGAGCACTTCGCCGTACACTGCTGGACCGGCTTCCCACCGTGTGTGTTCGGGGCACTGCCTACATGTAGTCCTTGCAAGCACTACCCGTCTATCTCCCGCCGCGCTTCCTGTGCCGGCATTTGGCAGGTGCACGTCTAAAGCACATCTAGGGACTGCTTTGCAGGGGCTCTGAAATCAACCCTGAAGCGAGGGGCACCACCTCTTCTGCGGAGCCGCACTACTGCTCATGCCATTATGGAGATGAAGGTGATGGGATGAAACAACTTTACAACTGCATTAAAGAAATGTGGGGGTACCTGGGGGGCTCAGTGCATTAAAGCCTCTGCCTTTGGCTCAGGTCATGATCTCAGGGTCCTGGGATTGAGCCCCGCATCGGGGAGCCTGCTTCCCTTCCTCTCTCTCTGCCTGCCTCTCTGCCTACTGATGATCTTTCTCTGTCAAATAAATAAATAAAATCTTAAAATAAAAAAAGATTTTAACAAATAAAAAAAGAAACGTGCCACACAAATGCCATCGGGAGGCTCCTGTAAGCGCCAGGCTCCCAGAGCACGCTCCATGGGACCCGGTTCACAGACATCCAGTCTCCTCACAGTCCTTCACACTCCGCAGCTGTTTCAGAGAGAAGAGTCGTACCCACTGCACAGGCACGGGGACACCCTTCACCTTTAGTGGCACTGCACATCTGGGCTTTCAGTCCACTGTCTGTGTAGAATAAAGTTCAGAAAAATACTAAATAAGCTTCTGACACCTGACCTCAATGCCCTGGAGATCCATGACCGACCCATGGATTTTATCCTACTCAGCACCCAAATGAGAGGATCGGAGATAACCCTCCACGTCCTTCTTCACAGGGTTAGCAAGAAGCTACAATCACACTGCGCTACAGCAGATAAAATTATGGGACTAACACAGGAGACATTCTCATCATAATTAAATGCTCTACAAAAATGACAATCTCAGTCACTGAGAACATAAAAGGAATAGAGATAATATAGTAAGTTTAACAGGGAAAAAGCAGACAATCCATTTTCTTCCAAAATTTGACTTTAAAAAGTGTACCTTTCAATAAAATATTCCAAGTAGCGGAAAATATAACAAGCCAGGACACAGTTAACCCAGGACGGGAACAGCAAAGGCCAGAGGTGCAAGACGTCCCGCCCTGCACAATGTCCCCAGCACACCCTGCTGATGCGTTCCAAGGCCCTGCTCCCCCTCTCCGAGGAGCCTCCCAGGCGTGCCCTCCCCCCGCTGGCGCTGGCATGGAAGTCAACACCTGTTAGCCACAGCTAGAGCCATTCCAAATGTGTTCTTTAAATAAATCTGAGACACAAACTTCTTCACTGTTGCCACTAGAGCTTTCAAAAATCTAGACTTTGAAAAACAGACGGCCTAAGCGAGTGTTCGCACACAAGCGGTGCCGCACCTAACTGTGCACCCTCAGTGAAGCCCGCGGTAGCACCAGAACCCAGCAGCTGCGTCTGTGGCCGCGTTCAATTCACCACGACTCGAGGCACTCCTCCTTCGAAATAAGATACGGTGGTCTCTACTGCGGTGTCTTTCACGCCAGGAACAGTAATATACAACGTACTCACAAACTAGGTAATAGGAAAGTTTCTGATTTCAATGATAATGCACAGAACAGATTTTCTTAAAGTAGGCTCCATGCCTAGCGGGGAGCCTCACGGAGAGCTTGGACTCGGGACCCGGAGATCATGACCTGAGCGGGATTCAGGACCCGGACGCTAATGGACTGAGCCAGCCAGGAGCCCTAGAACAGAGCATTTTAAGGAGTAAGAATTTAAAACCATTTAGGATGGGAGTCAAAGGAGAACAAATGAATTTGACTATGACAAAAAAATTAAACCTGACAGCAGTCACGCGTTTACGATACAGAGGCTTCGACCTGGTAACGTTTCAACACTGGGGAGGTGCATGAGCTCCCGGCGCTCCCGGCCCGCGGCAGCCGCGCCAGCACCCCACAGGGCGCACCGGGACAGGACAGCCCTGGGGGAGTACCCCAGCAGGGGCGGCACTCATCCCTGGAGAAATTTTAAAGCCAAATTATATTTCTTCTTAATGGAGTATTTTCCCCGATAATTAAAAGAAACGCATGTCCTCCTCCAACACTTCAGCTGTGGAAGGACTGAAGTGGGTTCAAAGAAGCTTCCCGGTGAAGGAGGCTTCACTCGGGTCTGAACAGAAGCGCAAGCGCTGAGGGGCCGGGCTCGCCGCAGACACACGCTGACGGTCAGTCTCCCCACAGCCCGCGACGGCGCTTCTGTTAAGTGCGGCAAACGCACTCCATACAACACTACAGCTATTTCCTGTCGGTTTAAGCGACGTTTTCCCCAAGAGTCCAACCGGGACTCCCCTGAAACACACTTGCTGTCCTCTGAAGGACTCGCTGCCGTCCACGAGCAACGCAGCAGCACCGGCGATGCACTTACTAAGTCCTCGCTAAAACCCAAGATGCAACAAAGGGTATTTTTAAGAATTCTTAAAATTACAGATCATTTCAGCTAAAAGACACACACAAGTCTCGCTTGTTTTCACTCAGTGGGTCTATCCCAGATGTTGTGCCGGCTTTCTCTAGAAGCTCCCGGAGAAGACAGCTGGTCGCAAACAAGCGACGGCCAGCAGCGTGAGGGGCTGTGGCCGCTGTCCCGTCACTCAGCACGGCCTTACCGTTGCGATGGGCCCATCGACGTGGTAGTCCAGGCTGAACACGTCCCACCCGGTGTCACCTGGAGAGACCTGGGGACAAGCACAAACGCTGCAGGCTTTCCCGCCAGCACTCTGCTTACTGCCAGGGGACAGGTCCGGGCCTCGGAGAAGCAGCAGTAAAATCAAGCCCAACTTTTGCAGAAGGTTCCGCAGTTCAGAGTGTCAGCGACATGAGAACTGCACCCTTCTGTGCACTCCTGTGCCCTCGGTACCGCAACCCCAGCCACCCAGGAGACACTCTGCAGACACCGTGCAACAAAGGGCGTGGTTCTGCAGAAGCACCATAAAATCCATTTAGAATTACTCACCACACTCTGCTGACAGAAACTCACTGCCTTCTATGTCCCAAATCCTTTAAAAGACCACATTTTGAAAACCTAGTAGGTCCCTGCTAGTGGTCCTTCATCAGAGCAAACAGTATATGATGTTTCTCAGACTCATTCCCTAAAGAAAAGTCATCATCCAGCAAACTGAAACTAAACACACTGGTGCTCGCCGCGTTACTATTTTGCTCATAAGCATCGTCATCGCGTCTCATTCCTGTGGCTCCTGCCACGTTACCAGAAACAGGAGTTACTCCACGACGAGCTGCCAGGCACCCTGGGAGCGCTGCAGGCTCTGGGCCCAGGGTCCCGTCCAGCTCGCCCATCTGAGCACAGGCCGAGCAGGCAGCGACCCCCCGCCCACCAGGCTAGACCACCTGCCCTCGAGCAGGGCACTCCCTGCCACGCAGGCCTGAAGCCACGGTACCTCCAGCAGCCTCACGTCCAGCCTCTTGAGGATCTCGGGGCTGTCAAACTGGGCGTTGGTGGCCCGGACGGCTGTTTCAAGAATTCCAGTCAGGTTGTGTTGATACAAAGTTGTAGCTGGACGGACAAGTTCCGGTCTAGCAGATTTTTTAAAAATAAAAGAAAATGTTATTTGAATCCTTAATGAGCTTTATAAAAACTCAAAATCAATAAAAGGGTTCAAAATTATAAAAATTAAAAAGGAAAGAAACCACTACAACACGGGAACAAAAGTTTCACAGAATTAGGGACACCTGGAGTCAGTCGGTTAAGCTCCTGCCTTCAGCTCAGGTTCTGATCCCAGGGTCCTAGGATCAAACCCCGTCTCAGGCTCCCTGCCCAGTGGGAAGTCTGCTTCTCCCTCTGCCCTTCTCCCTGCTCGTGCTCGCGCTCTAATAAATAAATAAAATCTTAAAAAAAAAAAAAAAGTTTTACAAAATTAAATGTCAACAGGATTTCACCAAGTATATGAGGAGCAAAACAGTTCTTTAAACCTCAAAAAAATTAATTTTGACTCCGCTTGAAAATACTTCCATGTGCCACACATGTTAAAAACAGACTTTTCAACTCAAGTCTGGTCTACAGTGACATGAACTACTGTGACCTCCTGCACAGCTCCGATGGGAGGAGAGCTCCTGACACCGGAGCAGCCGGACACAAGGACATCATGATCCTAAAGGCTAAAACTTACGGCATCATCAGCAAACACATCTTCAGGGTTGCTGATGCCTGGGTTTCTCAGGAAGAAGCTAACATTCGGGGGCGGCTCCGGTGTTCAAGTGAAGAACAAAGCCGTGTGGGCAGAGGAGCAAGGGAAAGTGGTCGGCCGGGGCACACTTGCCGTGGTAAGGGACAGAGTGTACCACGTGAGGACCACGGCCAACACCCTGTGTGACCCACAGGGCAGCCGGTAAGAGAGCAAATCCTAGGAGTTCTCATCACAAGGAGAAAACCTTTTATCCTTTTTTTCTTTTCTTTTTGAGTGTCTGTACGAGAAGACAGGACGTCAGCTGAGCCTGCCGGGGCCTCCACGTCACAGCAGGGGGACAGAGCCATCGTGCCGTATGCCTCAGTCTTACACCATGACGTAACCCAACTACTTCTCAGAAAACTGGGGGGAAGCCCTGCCAATCACTGGCGGTGTGCACCGCAGCTCTGCAGCGGCAAGTTCGCAGGGCGGCAAAGGCCGGGGCAGCGAGAAGCGCCGGACCACAGCGCCATCACTCGCACTCGCACATGGGAGCCTGGAGATGAGCAGCGTTGCCCCCTTTCAAAACTGCAGCCCTAAAACACGCCTTCGAGAAGGAACACATCTTCCGGGGCGCTGGGTGGCTCAGTGGGTTAAGCCTCTGCCTTCGGCTCAGGTCATGGTCCCAGGGTCCCGGAATCGAGCCCGGCATCGGACTCTCTGCTCAGCGCAGAGGCTGCTTCCCCCTCTCTCTCTGCCTGCCTCTCTGCCTACTGTGATCTCTGTCAAATAAATAAATAAGATCTTTAAAAAAAGAAAAAAGGAAGAAACAGTATATTTTTTGGACTCATTTCAAACAGGAGCCAACTGTGACCCCGCTGCACACCCTGCAGACACTGGACGGTTGGCACCACAGCACTCCCCAGGCCCACGGGCTCCTCCGTGAACGAGGCACAGAATGAGCACAAAGGGACTTCAGGGTGACAATCTCTTCAGATGGCATCTCACCAGTACGCTCTACAAGAATTCAGCAAGTCTCCCCGTAACGCCCTCTACTCTTCCCGACTGCGCCCCACCAGCTGGCCGCGCGCTCTCGGGGCCGAGACGCTTACTTGAGAAGGTCCATCAGGTGTCGTATGAAGTCGCCCTGTCCGAGCAGCAGGTACCGCCTCACGGCCTGCATGTGGTCCAGCAGGCTGTACTTCTTGTTCAGGACGTCCAACAGGTACTTGCTGGTCTCAAAGTAGGCCGCGTCGATTTTCCCCCGAAATGCGTTCTCCAAATCTGTGAACAAATCTGTAGCCATAAAGAACAAGAGAAGTACACAGACGTACATGATTTGCATTTCAGTGAACATAAAACGAAAGCCCCCACGTACAAAAGCCATTGCCAAAACCCCCAAATGGCACTGAGGGCAGACCCAGCGGGATGCGAGCCCCGAGCCCCAGGCCGTGACCTGGGAAGGGGCCCTGACAGAAGGCTGGCGCGTGCTGACCTCTGGGTCAAGTGAGTGTAACAAACCCGAAACCGCCCCCACCACACCAGTGAGCTGTGCAGTGCAGGGTGGTCACGACTCAAGGGTCCACACGCACCCACGGGACGCCCTGGGAAGTGGTCACGGGACGGCCCGTGTGAGGACGGGCTGTGCGGACAGCAAGCCTGGCTATAGCGTCAGGGCCCGCCACAGCAGCCGCACCGGGAGATTTCTGGGCGAACGCGGAGTAAGAGCAGACTGTCCCCAGCAAGGAGACCTAACTCTCAGCAGTAATATATAAAAAACAAACGTTTCCACAGTTTTACACTTAGCAGAAACAGCACAGGGAGAAGACACACGTACGGAGCGACATGCTCGCGGTGAGACAAGACGAGGCAAGGCCTCAGCAGGGCACAGTCTTCCCCTCGAGCCACTCCCAAGCCTCAGGAGCCTTCGGGGCTGTTTTCTGTTTGCTGCTCAGAGTAACAGTCCCAGTAAGAAAGACCTGCTTTGATCACTGCTGTTCAGACCACACGTCACTGTGGGGTGGAATCCCATGATACAGTAACGTGCGGACACGACTCATGAGCGGGACAGCGGCCACGTTTTAAGGGGCGGTGGGGAGTGGGCTACGTACTTCTGCTTGTCTGTATTGTTTTAAAAATGTAAATGTTACCCCAGAAATGCTTTTAGGGTTAGGGTTCGGGCTGGGGACAGTGGCACAGCAGCGGCACTGCAGCCCAGAGGCGCACAATCCCCCGCGCCCCCCGCACGTGAGCACGGCCCCACGGCCAGTGCCCCGAGCCGGCCGTCTTCTGTAGGCACCAGAGCACTCGACCCCTGTCCGCACCATTCTCCTGGCTCTTCTTCCCTGTTCTACCTCTTAAACACGTACCTCCGGAACGTCTGTACTCGGACCACACCTCTCTCTGCTCTAAGAACTAAACCGGGGTCCACGAATCGCAGAAACGTACACGCTAAACCGTGTCTAAATGCACTGAGGGTGGGAGGAGAGGCGTCTGACCCCAACAGCCGGAGCACCCGCAACACCACGGAGCCCTGTCCCAAGCAGCACGGTGACACGGGTACCTCCCAGAGCCCAGCAGCAACCGTGGCCTCCATCTGGATTCCCGGCACAGCGCTTCCAGCACGCGCCGGAGACCTCCTCCCACGAGTCCTCTCAGACACAAAAAACCAAACTGGGCCGAGAGGCACGTGAACAGATGCTCGCCACCCCTCATCGTCGGGGAAACGCACATCAGACCAGAGAGGCACCGCCTCACCCTGCCAGAATTGCCAGAAACGGAAACACACCCCTGGGCGCCAGCGAGGCTGCGGATGGAGGGGAGCCCATGGGCACAGCTGGCGGGAGCACGAGCCGGAGGAGCCGCTGTGGCAAGCGCATGGAGGGTCAAGACATGGCAAGGACAGCGGCCGTAAGCTCCGGGACATCCGTGACCAGGCATCCACCCAAGAAGGTGGAAATGCTCATCTGCAAAGACACACCTCACGTTCAGGGCAGCGTCCCCTCAACACAAGATCCGGAAGCAGCCCAAGCGTCCCCAACAGACGGGAAGTCACAGGAAATGCAGGGTCCGCACACAAGGGAACGGGACGCAGCCTTACAAGGAGGCAATCCCACTGCGGCCGCACAGACAGACCCCGAGAACCCGGAGCCAAGGGAAGGGAGGCGGCTCAGAAACACTGCGTGGAGCCTACAGCCGTCCGAACTAGGAGCAGCGAGCCGAGCGGTGGCTGCAGGGCTGCGGGGAGGCGAGGATGGTCCCAGGGCACAGTCCTGGTGATGCCAGGTGAGAAAGGTCTGGGGTCTAGCTCACGCCCAGGGCCTACAGCCAGCCCTGCAGGGTCGTACGCTTGCCGCACGTCCTGCCTGTTACTGCTGGTAATCGTGATTTCATTTGCACGTTTCTCTTCAGGAAAGGCACAGCCATCACCATGAACAAGAACTCGTACTGTCTTGCCTACACCTGCCACACCGTCCCACGCACAGTCAGAGGGAGCCCGTGAGCAGGAAACGCAGCCACGGCCAGAGAGCGGTACATGCCCGCCACCACGGAATCACAGGGCGGAGGGGCAGCCGGTGGGGAAAGCGGGAGAGAACAGCACTGAAGGGAGACAGACGCCGTTCAGAGCAGGTGGCAATTCCACGCGGCACTCGGAACGCGAGCCACACGTGTAAGCCCCTGCTGACCCCTGACTAAGCCTCCAGGTTGGCTGTGGCCACCATCAGCAGCAGCTGTCCTTCCTCATCCCAGCAAAGCATCGCTACAGCAGTTAAAGAAAACAGGAATATAAATTACTACGAGTGGTTAGTAAGTGTAAAACACCCAGACCTCGTCTAAAACTTATTGTTTAAACCCACATAAAAAATGGAATTGAGGGCGCCTGGGGGGGGGGCTCAGTGAGTTAAGCCTCTGCCTTCGGCTCAGTTCATGATCTCAGGGTCCTGGGATCGAGCCCCGCATCAGACTCCCTGCTCAGTGGGGAGTCTGCTTCTCCCCACCCCCGCCTGCCTCCTCTCTGCCTGCTTGAGACGTCTCTCTCTGTCAAATAAATAAATAAAATCTTTAAAACAAAGGGGAATTGGAAATTTGCACAGTGGTATTTCATACACATCACACTATGTATGAAGGTATTTCGGACAACAATTCAGAGCATCCGTCCGTCCCCCTGGAAGAAGGCGGCTCTGGGCAGTACATACACGCGCAGCCCCTCCACCGCCAGCGCCCGCGTACCATCCTGGGGGGAGTCTGCAGACTTGGTCACTGCTATCATCTTTGCGGTGGGCGTCTGGTCATGACAGACCTGGTGCAGGAAATTTATTGACTTTCCTATCAAAAGGACCTAAAATGGAAAATAGCCTGGAGTTACCTTTACATACAAATGATTAATCGTGCGACTACTACAAAGATTCATAAAAACGAACTACGAACTGGAAAGTAAAGAACGAGACGCCTAGAGCAGCATCGAGCGAATTCCAGAAACTGGAAAGGCCTCACCAGCTGACACGCATTAATAGATCAACGGATTCAATTCCTACGCTTCTAACGGTAAAATGCAGTAAAACCGCATTAAGAAGATTCCTCCTGCCACATGGTGGGCAGATACAAAGCCCAAGTGTGTCTCCCGGCCTTACCTTTCTGGACTGGTCCATCGTGATGAAGGAGGGAATCATGGATTTCCGGAGGGTGTACTTGTCCTGCCACAGACGGTCTGTCTTCACCGCTGGGTCGGAGGCTACAAAAAACTGAGAGCAGAGACAGCCGTGTCAGACAGTGACCCTCATGGCAAACGACCCGCTAACAGCAACGCCAAAGGAGTCCTGAGAGCCCAGCCCTCCAGACACAGGAGAGTCGCCCGTTACAGAGCAAAACTCGTCTTAGAAAGCATTTTGGACACGTCACCCTCTAAGCGGAAATCGCATCATGTCCCAGACTCCTTAAACGCAGTGTAACGGAGCAGGCTCTGTCCCCAAGACGCCCAATGTCCGTGGTGAGCGTCGCAGCGGACCCTGCAGGCAACCTCGTGGTCTGGGTGGGAGGGCAGCGTTCTCCCTCAATCAAAACGTGCGGCCCGCTGCAGGGGTGCGGCCCCTCCCGCCGTGCGCAGCCCCCGCAGGCTCTCGCTCGCAGAGCCCCCCGAGCCCGGAACACAGGGACTGAAGAGGACATGCTCCACAGGGACCGAGGGCTCCGGGCAGACCTGGACATGCGGGCGGGCGGCACCCGTCGGCCAAGCAGCGCTGCCGGACGCGACCTTCCGAGGACAACCTCGCTCAGGGCTCCTCCCCGATCCGCTGGGCTCTTCCCCTCGCGACCCCCCACACAGTCCGCCGTCTGACCACAGAAAGGGCATGGGTGTTCGGAGCTAACTGGGCCCGACTCCACCTCGGCCGCCGCCACCAGGCCGCTCTCGTCCTCCGGCGGGCGTCCCAGCCGGCTCACGCTCGTCTCCCCAAGCTGCGTTTCCAACGGAGCAGCGGAGCTGCGTCGAGCCTTACCTGCGGCAGACAAGCCAGTCTGCAGAGAGCCGCGCCCACGGCACTCCCACGGGCAGAACGCGCCACCTCCCCGCAGGTTTTGCCGGTTGGTCGGCGAAAGCCGGGCTGCCTGCACCGGTACTATCCTGACAACGGAACCTGGGCCCGCTCTCCGGTGCGAATGGCCATTTGCTCTTTTTCTCCCGTAAACTGTCTTTTCATCCCCTCAACCCATCTTTCTCTGGGACTTTGTCCTCTTCTCGTCAATATATGAAAACTGTTGCATTTGGGATAATGCCCATTTGCGGGTCCAGATTACAAATGTTCGCAAGCGAATCACTTACCATCATTTACAACATACTCCGGTTTTGCTTTGTTCCATTTCTGTTGTGCAGGTAACTGACTCCCTGATGGCTCCTGCGTTTCCTGGCTTCCTAAGCGCTTCCCGTTCCCCGAGGACAGATATCCCGCACCATTTTCTCCCAGCATTCCTGCCGTGTTGTTTCTAGGACTCCAGTCCTTCATCCCTCTGGAAATTATCTTGGACGGAATGCAGGGGTCTGGCCTTCCTTCCAGACAGCATCCGCCTAGCGGCAGAGTCACCCAGCGCCTTCTCTTAAATGTGCCATTTCTTCCTCTGGGCTAGGACACCTCATCAGAAACCCTCACTGTCCTTAATTGTGTCAACAGGTCAAAACGGCAGAAAGTTGACTAGACCGAGGCTGAGGCGGCACCGGACAGCATCCTCCTCTCCCGGCCTCCAAGGGGGACCAGTGGGCTTCGTGTTTCATCATCATGGACCGGACTTAAGCACATCTGGGTTCCAAGCCGTGCACGGAGTACCCTTCCCAGCACTCCGGGGTTCCCATTCTGGGGTGACAGGAGCCTCTTCCAGCCAGCTGTGAAGTGCTTCAGACTTGAGCCGTGCTGTCTCCCTTGCTTCTGGTATGGAAGGCGCTCGAGGCTCATCTTCTTCCTCTCTCCCGCAGACCTAGACTCAGCCCCTCCTCCAAGGAGCCCTGGTTCCTTTCAAAGGGCACTTGCACCACAACTGCAGCACTCGGTAGTGTCTCCCGTTAGAAACTGGGCGGTTCGCGACTCAGCACTGGCCATGTCACGCGTGGCACCCTGGCTCCCAGCAGGACTGTCAAATCCACTTAAGTCACAACATACCTGAAGGGCCTCCTCTGGTGATTCTGACACAAGTTCCAAATCACCAGGTGAACCAGACACAGCCCTCCCCAAGGAAAGTCTATCCACAGAGACAAAATGTATTTAAAGAATTCTACAAATATTTTTAGTCATCATACAGCAATACAAAATGAATGGTTTCCTAGCAGAACATAAATAACCCAAATTAACCCCAGACGAGAGAAGCTGAACGGTCACTAAGGCACACAGCCCACTTAACTTAAAAAAAAAAGAAAAAAAAAAAGACATTTTTATGTTGAAGAATTCTAGATCACAGAAAAATATACAGAATGCTTCAGTTTATTTCATGGGTCCCGTACAGCAAAGCCTGATAAAAATAATACCCAAAATGGGCACGTGGGTGGCTCAGTCGATTAAGCGGCCAACTTGGTTTCAGCTCAGGTCATGACCTCGGGGTCCTGAGAGCGAGCCCCGCGTGGGGCTCCCTGCTCAGCACAGAGTCTGCTGAGGATTCTCTCTCTCTCGCTCTGCCTCTTCTCTCTCTCCCATAAATAAATCTTAAAAAACAATAATAATACCCAAAATGGAAGGACAGGTCAGATGGAAAAATTAGGAAGAAAGTAGTGCCCCTGCGTGACTGGAGGAGGATCGTTTTGCTCAGGGTACGTTCACTACCTGTCTAACGACAAGGGAAGAGACAACAAATTATAAAACAGTATCATGTAGATATTAAAACTAAAGTTTTTCTTAACTATCCTAAACCCTTCCAAGAACCGGGTGGAAAAACGCGCAGCTCTTCTTGCCGGGGAGCAAACAGCGCACATATCCACAAACCCACCTCCACGTGCCTCTCAGGACCTGCAGGGATCGCCCTCTACCAAGCCTCGGTACAGGATAATAAAATTCAATGGCATGAAATTTTCATTACTTAAAAAAAAAAAATTACTATTTGGTAAAGCAGGAATGCAAAATAGTATGTTTCAGAAATATATTCAATGAAGGCTGAAAAGTTTTTTTCTTATTCACTTCAAATTAAAATGAAGTAAAAAGGGTTACAAAATACCATGCATGCGCCGTATCGGACACACAGAGAAACATACAAAAAATGTTAACAGGTTATCTGTTCAAGATGGGATCACTAATAAACTTTCTCTGTTACTATGCTCAAAATTTCTTAATTAATAAATATTTTTAAATCAGAAAAAACACTGTCCAAAAGAACTGAGTACTTCAAGCCAGCGAGTGAGCATAAGGTGCCAGGAAAAAGAAACCCTCAGTAACATCACTTTTCCAAGGCAATCAAAGAAAAGGATATATTTTTTTTTCTGTTCACAGAAATCTACTCCCAAGGATGAATCTTTAAGGCAACATAATTTTTAGTGGCATGAAGCCAGGCCTAGGTGGTATCCGTTACACGTAGCCAATCTCCTTTGTAAGCAGGTATCTGAATAAATGCCATATTTTTATGACCAAGAGGATAAGATCACTGTATTTATTTCAACTCAAATTTCTTATCTTTAGGTACAAATTGAAATTACCAAGGTATTTATTGATCTTTACATTCTAGGTTTTTCTGACTTATATTCCCTTTCTAATTTTAAACACGTAACTAGGGAAGGCTGGCAGTATAATCAGTACTACGATAGCTAACCTACTGTCACTTTAAGACACACGTCAACTATCCCTCATAGAAATTTTTTTAAAATGTCATCAGCCCACCAGGAGTAATCCAAAAGGTCGTCAGGTCACCGCACTCGCTGTGGCCCACCTCTCAGCAGACTAGACGAACTGCGCGTAAACGGTCTTGATCAGTCACTCACTTAACAAAAAGAGCTCGTTTCTACAAACACCACACGAACTCGCCTGATAGCGGGAGTGTATCCGGGTTTTTATCAGTAAGAGCAATAAGACAATTTATTTTAAAAGATAAAAAACTCAGACAATTCAGTTATCTTTAGAAATTAAGAAAGCATCACTTCAGCTGGGGGCAGAGCAGCGTGCAACCCATCTGCCAGCAAACACGGAGAGGAATAGGTGCATCCCCGCATTTAATTAATCCTCTGAAAAATACACCGTTACAGAGGGAAAAAACCAAGGCCAGAACATAATTGCTTTTATTTCATTGATGCATTTTCCACTCAAGGTTCTTTAATTTTCACAATGTGTCAAACACAGAAAGAACTGAGAAAAAAATATAACATAATTGTACCATGATTTCTCATTAACTGTTGGACAAATGCCAAGGCCTCCCTAACTAAAAACAGAAATGAAGAGGGTAATTTTCTTAGCAAGCAGCATAGCTTCTAAGAAACAGATCCATTATTACACACAGACCCCCACCCAACTGTCCATGGACAGGCAACTCCCACGAGCCCCCACTCTGAGAGCCACCCGGAGAGCAGTGACAGAGGCTCTGGGCCTGACCGGGGCAGGACCTGAACCCGGAAAAGGTAATGGGCGAGGTAAACGGGTGCATCCCACCACGCCAGCGGCGGGGCACACAAGTGCCAGGACGGCAAGATATCGTACGTGGTAAACTGCTACGTTCAGTCATTCCTGGCAAGAGCACGAAAGAAACTGAGTGCCAAGAGTGCAGAGTGCATCCGCGGATACCCCGAAAGCAGCCACTGCGTTCCCTCTGGCTCAGTCACTGACCTTCCAACACAGGGTGCGGATTTTCAGTTTTACAGCATGTAAGCAAACATCTGAAGCAAGTTTGAAAATTTTCAAATTCTGAAAGCAAAAGACCTTTTACCTTTGCCCTTCTTTTCTGGCTCCAAGTTGAAGCCCCTCACCCTTTGACAAGGATTATCCAAAAGGCAAAAAATAAAAATAAATTAACACTGAACTATCTTGGAGCACCTGGGAGCACCAAGGGACGTGTCTGCCTTCAGCTCCGGTCACGATCTCTGGGTCCTGGGATCGAGCTTGGCGTCCGGCTCCCTGCTTGGCGGGGTCTGCTTCTCCCTCTCCCCACCTACCTCTCGTGCTCGCTCTTCTGGCTCGCTAGCTCTAATAAATTCTTAAAAGAAAAGAAAAAAGAAAAAAGGAAAGGAAAGGAAAGGAAAGAAAAAAACTGGAACTATCTTGTTCTTACCTTAAACAGGCATAACTTG